CACAAATTTCTTTGACAAGACCTCAAATTGATGGGATGGACGGTATCAATGGACGACGAACCCTCGTCTCTACTGCTGAAATCTAAGATCATCGACATCCCTTTCTGACCAACCCTGACGAAGAAATTCGATGGAAAAGAAGGAAAATCGTGATGAATAGACCGACGGCCATCACACCCATTCCTATCAATTAGTGAATTCGTTTTGAATTCAAGGAAATGGGAGGAATGAATGAAGCGACGATGCCAAAGTGCCAAAGTGAAAGTTTTGACGACCCGAAGGGCAGGAATAACTGTTTTGACGAGCCGGAATAGATGTTTGAGAATGGAATTTTGAGCATTTAAAAGTTGCTTTCTGAGGTCATTACAAATAGACAGACAGTTATTTTTAGATTCACAATACTACTAGTTTTTGTGGAGGCTTTATAATTGCTTGCTTTTGGTGTCAAAATGAAGATAAGGATCTAATAAATCTAATCTACCTTGAATTTCTCGATTTTGCGATGTCACCGAGTTAAAAGCCTCGAACGAGAGAGGTTTCCGGGTTTCTCCGTTGTAAGTGACGCTTTTTTCACTAAAAACGATTTTTCAAAAAATCTGTCAGGAGAATTTGAAAAACTTTTTCAGTTTTAAAATTAGTACATTTTTCTGCGATGACACATATTTTATAAAGATTCATCAGAAAACGCAAATTGCACCGATGTGTGAAGGGCCTGAATCACTGTTTTGACGACCCGAAGGACAGGAATGAATTTTCTGAAAGACCGTAAATACTGTAATTGAAGGGAATGCTTTCTTCTATTTTCCCCCTACCTTTTTTCTGACTCCCCGAAAAAACACATGTTTAAAACAAGAAAATTTTTTTCAGACATGATTCCTTGAGGTCGGATTCTCGAAAATGATAATGGTCCCCCCTTAAAATTTATTTCGAAAGGTTTTTTTGAGAAATTTCTGTTAGATCCCTTTAAATTTTACTGCCAACCCTTCTGGGTTATACATCTGGCCCATATACACCACTCTAAGCACTTTTCATTCAAACTCTTTTTCAAAAGTAGCCACTGGGCGACCAAATTTGTAGGCAAAAATACGAAAATCGTGGTCGACGAAGCTAGGTAGCGGTCAGAATGAAAGGTAGCGGAACCACACGGTCAGAAGTCTTCAAAGAGTTTTCTACTTTTCCCCTACCTTGTTTCGGACTCCCCGAAAAATCACATGTTTAAAACCCTTGAAGTAAGTCAACGTTCAGTTAGAAGCTGCATCAGAAAGTTTTTAAAAAATAAAAGGTGTATAGGAAATTTTGTTCACGGTGAGAATCCCAATCTCTCAATCAAGTCTCAGCTAGCACCTGTGAATCTTATTTACCATTTCGAATTTGAGGGAAATTTCGATCGATGAATCGAATGGGCAAAAAAATGAGCCGAAGCTGTGACAGTGAGGTGATAAATGAAACATTTTTTGTACATTTGTTAGCGAGAAATGAAATCCGACCTCCTCGATGCGAAACAGACAAAAACGAACGATAATGTACAGTTGTGTGTTTCAAAAGAATGAATTAGATTGGATTTATTGGTTTTTGTCCATAGAAAGGAACACAAAGCCTTCATCAGAATTGAGAGCCCCTTTCGCAGATAAAATGAAGGTGTTGGTTAGGAGAACCGACCAGCCATTTCCCACTAATGCTCTGAAATGTGTTCATTTCTCATGGAAATCCTTTGATAAAACATTAAAACATCTTTCATAAAAAAGACATTTTCTCAGATTGATCGAAATAGTTTTGGATCACAACTGCACATAATCGTTCGTTTTTATCAGTTTTGCATCGAGGAGATCCGATTCCACTTCTCGCAAACAAATACACAAAAAATGTTTTGAATTATTGTTTTGAGTCACTTGAAAATCATTGAGAAAAACCCAGTTATTTTCCGTAATACCTAATATTTGCCGAACAAAAAGAGCGATCTCTTATCACGGAATTCTTTTTTACAAAAAGAGACGCTTATTCTCTCAAGAAAAGATGAAAAGCTTTCGATCGTGACCGTGAAAAAATCTCTTATACACCTACTTTTGTTTTAAAAAACTTTCTGGTGCAACTACCAACTGAACGTTGATTTACTTCGAGGGCCGTTTCTTTCCATTTCGAAGAGATCATTCAAATAAACTTGCTGAGACTCAAACACACGTTTTGCTGAGACTCAAAGTAAATGTTTTGGCCCCAACGAACCTCACAAACAAGGCTCTAAGTGTAAATTGAAGGGAAATTCATTTACTCAGTACAATAAACTAGTTAACAAGAATTTAATTATCGAGCAGCTTTCAATAGGCGATAAACTAATCCAGCATTTCATAAGCAATCCGAATCTCAGAGCAGAGACCAAGACTCTATCAAGATTGGAGAGGGGAATGTCTGTGAATATGTGACTTTATCGTGACACAGAATATCCAAAAACGCTTATTAACTAGGAAATCACAAATTGATGGCAAAGAAAACTCTTGGAGTCAAATATTTCACTGATGTCGTTATAGCCCGACAAAGATCTCCACGAGACCAAACGGACTGAAAATGGCAGCAAAGCGGACGGCACCCGGAGTGATGACCATGCAATTGCTCGGCGAGGTGAGCAGAGGCGAGTGTGAGCCTGAAATCGCAAATATCCACAATATGATATCAATGATCATTCATTTCTAATCAGTGCAGTCCTGGGTTATTGTTGGCGATTTGATGCACTGATGCGCTTGTTTAGCCTAATGAAAGAATATTAGCCTTAAATTCCTTGACCCAAATCAATGAGCTCGGCTGTATTTCCAATTGTTCCAATTGTTGACCGTTGAAATGAATTAAAGCTCAAACCCGGCAATTCTTGGCACAAATCTCGTCGGCAGCCATGTGGATCGTTTGGCCAATATCTCTCGAAATCGCCCCATTCTCAACGAGGGCCACTCGATGAATGCTAAGGCTCAGAGTTGCTTTTTTGACTCGCATCCTTTTTATTATCGAACCCTCACTCACCGATCCAAAAGCGCATTTTTGACGGTTTTCGAGGCCAAAACGTTTCCCATTTCGTAATCGCCATCAAATGACTTCTCAGTCGAGAGATCATGTCTTTGTCGATAGAGGAAAAAGCTCATGTTGTGTGCGTTCTGAAGGAGAATCCTACTTTATTTTTCGTATGTCAACAAGGCATAAAGCAGCAATATGAAGCTACGACTGATTCGAATGAATAATTCTATCTTCCCGAGTTGTCCCTTAGATGTCCCTTAGGTGTTAGATGTACAATCCAGCTCAAAATGAGTTGAATTCCCTCTTCTCTATCTCAAGATATTGTCCAAATAGACGAACCGTGTAATGAGCGAAATGTGATTCGTGATGATGATATCGTTCCCTCGAGTACTTACAGTCTCTCGTCGAAAAGACCACATATTGACTGAGAGATCGATTCGTATCGGCCCTAAATGCTGATGCTCGAAAAATCTCTCCACAATTCCCACCATTTCTCATTGTGCAGATCGTCTTGAATGTCGGCGAGAAGGGTGAGAATTTCCTCATCCGTCAACTTGTTGTCAAGATCTGCCGTCGAATCTTGATTTTCTCCTGCAGGCACGTCGAAATGATGCTAAATGGTTTGGGTCTGGTCTAGATATTAGATACTTGCAAAAGTAACTGCGGATTATAACCAACATTTGAACAGCCCAAAAATCAATAAGAAAACAACTTTATTCCAAAAGATACACTATGCTCTTGAAAAATAACTGAAAAACTGCAAGAACACTAGCAAAAAAATTAAAAATAAGCAGTTTGGGGGTAGATATAAAAAACTATCAAAGGGGAAAGCATGGAGTTATTAAGAGTTTTTTGAACCTTGACTGCTTCATCATACCCAATTAGAGTTGCCGGACCTGAATCTGTAATTATTGGGTTGATGCATAATTAATGCGCGTTTCTCTGACGGGTCAACTTCGACATCAATTTTCTCGGAAACTACTGACGAATTCTTATAAACCTTTTTTTTCTAGATAGATATAATCTCCAATTAACTTTTAAAAACTTAGGAGCTAACTGTAGAGTATCAGGAAAAAAGCAAATCTCCTGGATGTCAGATTTTCGAGAAAAATGCTATTTTTTCAGAAATGTTACTTTAACTCAAAATTTCTCTTTTAAAATCTCAAAGTGATGAAAGACAAAGTTGGAGAGGAAAACAAGCCTGTTCTAATGAGCTATGGCTGATGCCTAGGCAATGCACCATTCCAGAGATCGGCACTTTTGAAGTTGGCCTCTTTGAGAATGAGTACCTTTAGTATTTTAGCTCTACTGGCCTCAAAATTGAGTTTTCTCTTAGCAAAATTTCAGGTTAGATGCAGAATTAAATTTCGCACAAGATGGTAAAAATTTCACTGGTCTCTTAAAAATTTTTTAATTTTTATGCGTGGAAAATGAGTTTTTTATGGCTGCAGTTCGAGGGTGCCTTTCTTGAAAAGTACTGAACCAATTTGCGTACTCTTTTTTCTATTCTGTAGATTGGAATATCTAGCTTACGAAGATGTGAAAAAATAGCATTTTTCTTGAAAATCTGACATCCAGGAGATTTGCTTCAGAAATTTTTCTGATACTCTACAGTTAGCTCCTAAGTTTTTAAAAGCTAATTTGAGCTTGTATCTATCTAGAAAAATCGATCTTCGATCCCCGGCACTCGAATTTTCCTTTGCTTTTCAGTTTACTTCAGTCTTCATTGACTTTTTTCGTCTGATTATTTTCTTTTGCAGATCAAAAACGAATTTTAAATTTTGCTAATCAAATCCAAAATTTTGGCTTCAATTGAGTTGGGAGATTGCCTGGGCTCAAATTTTCGAGGCTCTTTTCTTGCTGATAAGACTCGGTGACTCCCTTCTGATATTGATTTTCATCGGATGGGATTTCCATGAATAAAACCCACTGATTGCTGTCAAAAATTGTGAATAATTTTCGGCATTTTGCCTATCCTCCTGGTGCCTTGATTTTCAAATCATATGGACTCTATCCTATCACTCAACCCAAGCGAATGGAGAAAGATTGGAAATGGTGTCTCGGGCTTTGTCCTCGTTTCAGAAAACCACAGGGTCACGTAAGTAAACATTTTTCTTTGCTGAACCATTTCTCTAAATAGGTACTCGAACTAAAGAATCCTGTTTGTGATTTGTTCTTTTCTGAAGTAGAAATCTCTAAAGTACAAAGGCTTTTTGATCGTGAACCTAACTAGGCTGGGTTCCCTTTGTCTAGCCCCAAAATTTGCATTCACTATTCTACAGTTAAAGATTTTAGCAAAATTGCCGCTAAACTAATCCCGGTGGGCAAAAACGAGCAAAGCGATGAAAAGATTAAAGAGGAGCTGAAAGCCCTGATTGAACTTCGACACGAGAATATCATCTATTTTTATCGAACCGTTAGGGCCGAATTTTTGGGGCAACGACATCATATGCTCGAGATGGAATATTGTGAGAGAGGTTGTCTACGGACAGGTTTGCAAAGGCCGATCAATGCATTTGTATCTTATTTAGTGATGAAAGATCCTACAATTATCTATAATATTTCGACGGTTTTGGGCTGGGCGGAGATGCTATTTTCAGTGTTAAAAAAGCTCAAAGAAAAGCAAATGGTCCATCGAGATTTCAAACCAGAAAAGTGAGATGATCTGATTCGTATAAAAAAATGTTTGCTACATATCTTTTAGCGTGTTGGTTACAAAAGATTTCATTCTGAAAGTGGCCGATTTTGGATTGGTTCGGGACTTGACGCGAATAGACACCGTTTCGACCGTTGGAACTGACCTTTATATGAGTCCCGAATTGCTTGTTCCTTATGGACAGAATGCACAAGTATTTCGTTGAATTTACAACTCTGGACAAGAAGATCTAGGTGACCTGTCAAAGTGACATTTATGCAGTTGGACTCATTTGTTGGGAGATTGTCGAACGAAGGTGTGACGATGGTGTGACGATGTTATGGGAGATGAGAAACCAAAATTTAAAACTGAAACCGCCATGCTGCGATGACCCGTTGAAGTCAATAATCATGGGGTTTGACTTGAAATGATTCTAATGATTCCATATCGTCCAAGGTTAATTTTTAGGTTCTTTACGGATAACACGGTGGACGGAGCGATTGGGGGGGCAGTCTTTTTTCAACCTTTTAACCAAAATCTTGATTGATTTGTCTGTGTTCGGTCTTATACATATTCCACTCGACGATCCTCTCCTTGTCTATTTTGAGCTTCTGCTTCACGTATTTGATCAACGTTTGATTGTCCGCCCAGAGACGAAGAAATTCACAATAGACAGTACAGGAAGACGGCTCGCCATCAAGCAATCCCCATCTCTGCTTCCTTTGGCTGAGCCTTTTGTGGTCGCTTTATTCTATGAGCAAAGACAGCACTCCCAATGAAGGACTTCTTTTTGCTTGGATTTCAACGACATGGTGTCTCCGGGCAGATCATTCTTGTAGGTAGGCATCACCTAAAAATTAAAAGTAATAGAGCAATAGAAAGATAATATTAACACGGATCTAGAGAACAATAGCCGACTCGCTTTGGGGACAATGAGAGAAGTGAGTAATTTTCTAGCGCGAGCGTGCTTTTATAGACACGATTCGTGATTGAAATTACTTTGGGACGCGATTAAAAAGAATTCGGTTTAGTGCTTGAGTAAACGAAATTTTGGTTGAAAAGTTGAAAAGAAGGCTGCGCTCCCCCGTTGTCCGTAAAGTACCACTTTTTCATACATCCGAGTAGCTATGTGCCTTTTCGGGGTGATTGTCTATCATTGAGCATCGAAAAATCCATCTTCTAGTCAAAGATTTTTCGGAAAAGTTGAGTTTAAAGGGGCTAAAAGTCGCTTTTCCGTTGTACGCCTATCGACAGTCATGCCCGAAAATGCACATGTCCACATCCTAGCCCTGACATAGGACATTACATATTTAGATGTATGCAAATTGATCCATCGGCTCGACCTACTGTAGAGCAAGTCTACCCGAAGATTGTGGATAGCATAAAGGTCAAAGAATTCAGCAAACCATCAATTCATATTTTAGAGTTCCCAGAAATACGCATTTGAGCCCGTGATTGATCAAACTCAAAAATGGATTCTTAAACCTTTGGGGTTTCCCAGCGAGGATAACAGTGTTGATGGCCTCGACATTTCATTGCCTACACCCGATTCTACTCAAGATCTTCGGGAAGTGAACGAGGAAAATGTAAACGATTCTTCCAAAGCAGGTCGCTCGAAACAAACAACAAGTCAAATCAAAAAAGTCGATTCAATCCACCAGCAAGAATTCGGTCAAGAGGATAATCAAACAGCTGAAGAACGAGTTTCCATACAATTTCCACTCGATAAACGTGTTGAAAGAAAGCCTGGTCGAAGCCATATATTTGACTCAAATAAACATCAACAGCAAGATAGCAATAGCAAAGAGGTGGCGATTGATCACAACTTCACACCGGTAACTCAAGATACAGCCATTGGCGGATATGCAAAACCTTCACTTCGCGAACCTTCCAACCAAAACATACATTTGACGAATAGTCAACAAATTTTGAATCAACTGAAAGTCATAAGTGGAAATGCTGAAAATCTTGGGAAGTTGGATTTCGAATTATTGATTGCCTTTTCGAAGATGAATGAAGGAACGGAAACGATTTTGGAATATCTTCAACACATTGAGGAATTTTTTGAAACTCGAGTATTTTCCGTTGATTCAATCACTCTTCCAAAATTGGGTGATTTTTTTACTAAATCACAAATGAAATCAACAAATTTCGATCAAGAAACGAAGGAGATTTTATTGAAAGTGATCGTTGCATGGGACGAAAAGGCTCAAAAAGAGTTATTAAGACTCGATCAAGCATGTATTTGGGGTTTATATGGCAATGGGTATTATAATAAAGCAGAACTCACAAGATGTCTAGATATCTTCGAGGCTCAAAAAAACAATTGGTTTTCTGACAAGAAAATGAATTTTGCCGTTTTTCAAGAAACTTCTTCCGGTGACGAGTATCTTTTATTTTCAAAGGGGCCAGGATTGACCAAGGAAGATTTCAGTGGCTATCACTTTCTCAAAGTTGATAATGATTGGTCTCATGAAAAAGATATCTTTGATTTGAACACAAAATCGATTCGTTATAAACGTGTCAAGGATAAGATCTGTCAAAAACACGTCACAGATATTGTTATGCAAATCAAGGAAAGAATCAAGTTTTTTGAAGATCCTTCTCGAATTCCTTCAACCCTTCTCAAAGCAATCATGCCAGATTTACAGCAATTCTACAATGAAGCTCCCTATATATTCTTGAACAATTTTCCACCAATTCATTCAATCTGGAATTTATCTAAAATACTTTCTAATGAAAAGATTCAAGATCTAAACAATCTTCATGCTATTTTCGAAGCAGCTTTAGTATTTATGGAGAATCATTATAATCTATTTTATTCGAATTATGGGCTTACTTATGGAAAATCAATTTTAGCTCGATTGAAATCAATTTCTGGACAAAACAAACAAATTCTTTTTTTGAAAAACGAAAATTGTCTTTTGATTCACCCTTATCGTCATCGTCGGGGTTTTATCCACTTTGACGTTTTGAGAGGATATTACAAATTTCTTTTTATTGGTTTTGACAAAAAGAATTCATTTGATTTTTTCCTATTTTCCGTCGATGATATGCACATTATTTTCGAGAAATATATTCAATTTTTGGAAACAATCGGTAAGCCATGCTTTTTATATTTTCAGTTACCGTATCACTTTAAATAGTGGCCTGGTGCACTAAAAATACACCTCTTAACATGTACTAAGACGATTCAGACTCATATTTGAGCTTTTTGAGGGGCTGGGGCACTATTCGAAGAAATATTTTAAAGAAATAGTTCAACTAATTTACAGAAACTTTATAAAGAGTGAATCATTAATCTGTGCTCATTCATATTAAATTTTAGAAACAATCGCGATTAATGAACGATTTGATGCTCGTATAGAATGTCTAAAGAAAGCTTTTCAATGTCTCGATTTCAAATAAACGAATAAAGTGAATAGTGAAGAAAGTTTGATACAAGCTGACCTGTAATTACATCGACCCGTTCAACTACAATTATTTTTTTTGCTTTTTGGTGTTCAGTGTGCGGCTTGATTGATGTGTTTCTCACTGCGCCCCTTTCACAATTACCGTATTTTCTGTCAATTCACTGGGATCAATTCGGCCGATGCCCAACAGTGAAAACACGAGCACTAAAACAATAAAGACTTAGCTTAAAAGCATCAAATCTGTGAATATAAATATACTCAATTCTGCATAATAAACGAAAAAAAATTACATTGTCTGACAGAGTAAAACAAAGTGAGGAATGAAATGAAATGAATAAGCCATTCGAAGCAGAATTAGAAAAGCATTCTAGCCCCCTGTTTGAGCCAAACAATGGTGTATCAAACCAATGTGATTAGAGGGTGTTCCTCTCAACTAAGTAATTACTTGAGCAATTTTTCTCAAGCAATTTTTTACTTGAGTAATGCCTCAAGTAATTGTCAAGTAATGCCGTTCTAATACACCCGCAATTCACAATCTCAATCATTTTAATTTGTAGTCAAAGCATTTTTGAAGTTCATGCTAATTTTTTCACACTATTTTTTCTTCCTTTTCGTTTTTCTAAATTTAAAAATTTTATTGGTTTAAGAAAAACTAGAAAGAATCAACACCAATGAAAGCAACAAGGAGAGTTTCTGTATTTTTCGTTCGTTCGCAAATACTTTCTCGCTCTTCAGGATGAAGCCTTCTTGCAAATGCCATCAAAACTCAATGAGTTACACGGTTTGTCTTTTCCATTGGTTAATGTAATTCAAATTTCGAGCTTTATAATTATTATGAAACTTCGTTTATTGGAAAAACTCAGAACGATCAGTTCTTCTATCCTATGCTATCGAAACATGGAATTCTTATTCGATTTTGTACGGAAAAATACAGAAACTCTCCTTGTTGCTTTCATTGGTGTTGATTCTTTCTAGTTTTTCTTAAACCAATAAAATTTTTAAATTTAGAAAAACGAAAAGGAAGAAAAAATAGTGTGAAAAAATTAGCATGAACTTCAAAAATGCTTTGACTACAAATTAAAATGATTGAGATTGTGAATTGCGGGTGTATTAGAACGGCATTACTTGACAATTACTTGAGGCATTACTCAAGTAAAAAATTGCTTGAGAAAAATTGCTCAAGTAATTACTTAGTTGAGAGGAACACCCTCTAATCACATTGGTTTGATACACCATTGTTTGGCTCAAAACATGAGGTTAGCCAGTCGGCCGGAAAGAATGCTTTTCTAATTCTGCTTTGGGTGATTTATTCATTTCATTTAATTCCTTAAGATTACTCCAAATTTGCTCTCGCTTTGATCTTTGTGATCTTTGATCTCGAATTTCACTGGCTTCTTCCGGTAGTAAGCTGGGGGCGAAAAGCAAATTTTCATTAAAATCAAATTAACTTCTTTTACTCTGTCTGACAGTGTACTTTTTTTCGTTTATTATTCAGAATACAGAATATTTAGCTTCACAGATTTGTTGCTTTTAAGCTAAGCCTTTATTGTTTTGGTGCTCGTTCTGCTGTTGAACATCAGCTGAATTGATCTCACTGTTGTTTTCCCGATCTTTCTCCTCAGAAACACGGCACTCACTAAGCTGAAAGAGAAACTTATACTTTCTTGTATTCAGAAAGAAAAATTGGAAAACAAACCTTTGTCCGAAAGTGTAGAGAGCCGTTTGTACGTTGCTAAAGAGCAACTTAAACGTTGTCAATAGCCAATAACCAAATAATGGATAGAGAATAATAATCAATACTTTTATGATCCCATAAAAGATTAAGTAAACAGTTGAACTGGCAAGCATCTGGAATGAAACTCATCAAGCTTTTTTCTTTTTGTTAACTCTATTTATTAGCTCTTTTTTAATCCCACACTCTTTTCTCTTCCTAAAAGTATTTGATCGCAGGTGTCGCATATTTTTTGAGTTTTCAGCTTATGCCTAAAACTTTTGGGAACTAAAACTTGGGAACTTTTTAGTTTCCAGCCTTTGCCACGTCTAACTTCTTTTTTTTATTTAAAAACCTGTAACATTAAACGTCCCTCGCTAGTCGTTTGTTTGAGTTTCTTCAACTAAAGCCCTGTATAGATAAAAACATAAAAAAACAACACCAACTCTTCTCATTTTCTTGTAAGTGAAGCAATCAAAGCTGATCATGAAAGAGACAATTACCAGAACAGGCGTATTTGATTGGACAATTGCGAAGAGTTGTAAAAGAAAACTTGTAGCTCCAATAAAGAAACACATTCCGAATTGAGCCCATGGCCATTTCAGGGTGAACTCGAAGAAATTTCCTTCAAACGAGACGGCTGTGTAACGGCTGAAATTTATCGTTATTTTGATAGTTATTTTGCTAATTTATTGTTTTTTTAGCGTTGAAATTCAGCCTTAACTAGAATGTTGACTGTTCTGTCGGTATTTGACTAACTCTGTGCTGTACTTTGACGTTAAAAGCCAGTTTAAAAAGCTAGTTTGTAAAAGATCTGTTTGAAAAAAAATGAACTGGAAAGGAATGGATGAAATATGTTTAGGATTATCTCTCTACTGACAAGCTCTGGATCATTGTAGCTAACAACTGTCCAAGTAATGCCAATGTGTAAATTAGTCGAGTCACACCTTCGCCCGTTGTGATTATCCTGCAAATAGGCATGTAAAGATGGCTCTTAAAATCTTAAACCTGATTGGTGGATGCAGTTGATCATTGGTTATCGTGAAATATATAGCAATAAGATTAATGAAGATTCCAATAGAATAAACCTGATCATTGGTTTGGATTAAAAGATGTTAGCAGAAGATCTTATTTAGTTAGACTTCTTTCTCCTGCTTATTCTACAGGGTGGCTGGAAAGTTTGATTACTTTTAAAAGAAGAGCCATTAAATTAGATTGACAAATGAAAGAAAGGTGATGAGCGGTAATGAAAGAAAGGTAATTAACTTAATTTTTAGAAAAGTTGACTATTTTTATTATTTGGAATCAAGTTTTGAAAAGAAAAGCTGAAATATTTATTTTACTATTATTTTCACTTCTCCTTTGTCTTTCCCTGAACCGGAATTTAACGGTGCCCCTTTCAAAAGTAACAAAACTTTCCAGCCACCCTGTATACATTTTTTCTAACCTTGTTTTTGCAACTAAACGTGAAATCTCAACTTTTATGCCTATCTAGCTTTTTATTATCTGTTACAGCAAGGAAAAACCAAAATTCTTTGGGCATCCACGCACTTAACTTGTTCTAATACCTGAAACAATTGTTGTTTTTCGAAGTTGTCATTCTCAGGTTAATTGTGGTGTCCACTGCTCATTTGTCAATCCAAAGAGGAATATAAAACATGAATACTCACAAAAATCATTCGATCGCTTACATACGTAGCCACTTGTGAATAGGTGTTCAAATCGACGTCGAGTAGGATCGTCTCATTTGGATTACTCAAGACAGCCATTACTCGTTTTGTCTCGAGATCAATCGAAATCCATTGCAACAAATAAAAAGCAACTTTAAAGTAACAAAACATGTGCTTGAACTGAGTTCTAATTGAAGGAAAAACCTGCGAGAGTTGATCCAACAACGGGTATTTCGAGAGGTTCACTGTAGTTTTTCCGTAACGCTTTCAGTGCGTTCGATAAGGACATTATCTAAGGGTTGAAATCAAAAGGAGAAGTTGAGGCCAAGAAGCCCAAACAGATGTCTGAATGTTCACTTGTGATGAAAAATTCTGAGCTGGGGTCAAGGCTCTTGATTTACTCATTAAAAATCATTATTAGGAGTGGCATATGAACACATTAACATAGAACTACAGTGTTTTCAAAAACAAAATGAAACAAAAGTAGACGTGCTCTCAAGGGAAATCAGCTGCAATATGAAAATTTGAACAATTTGAAAGT